CTCTAAGTTTGAATTTTATTTATTGTATAATAGTTTTAATAAAAAAAAACTTATTTAAAAGGTCCGTTACTAAAAAAAAATAACTTTAGCCTTCAATTTTACCATCTCTATTGTTTTGAACGTAAAAAAGTTATAAAAATGTATTTTGATCATTTAATAATTAAAAAAAAAAATTGAAAGTTATGCTAAAAAATGTGAAACTGAACATGTTGCTAACTAATAAAGTCTATTTTTTTTACGATTCTACAAAGCCATATTGGCCAGTTTGACAAATTTTCTTGTTCCGTCACAGATATTTTTTTGTTAACCGTCACACAGATACTTGTGCCTAAAAATTTTTGCAGAAATTACAAAATTTTATCAATTAAAAAAAACCAAAAAGGAAATAATTTGAAAAGGAAAAATGAAAAGGAATGAGATGCATGCTCCATATAAAACATTTTTCTAGTTATTACTTATTTACTAATATCTAGTTGTCAATTAATTAATCACAAGACAACAAATCTTGCCTACACATATCACTGAGGTACTTATTACAGAATCTATCAACAGTGGGAACCACACGTGGCAGGATCAGACATGCTTACCAAATTGTGTGGGTTTAACCACAGCCATCCGATTTTATCTGAAAGCGACATTGTCCCAAAAATGAGGTGAACAGAATCTTTGTACAGCCATGCAATTTAGCTGGCATGCAAACTTATTTAATTACCCCCTATTCCATGTAACTAAAAAATTAATCTTATTGGTATCCTGTTCTCTTTTCCCTCTCACAAGTATCTTTAAATCCATTCCAAAATAATGAATTGTCGTGTATTTCACCAACAAGCACAAGCACTACATTCATAAAAGACAAAAATGTATTTCTAGTCATGTTGGTTTATCGCTATAAATTATCGAAAATATGAGAATTTGAGAATTTGTTGCAATTTTAGTCCTTTATGTCCTCAAATGACTGAAGTTGCAGTAAAATATTAAGTCACACGACTAAGACTCGCGAGTCGCGAATTCTCTCGCGAGTCGCGACTTACTGGCACACCAGTCGTCCGTATCGCCTTATCAAAAATTTCGCTTAGAATCTCGTAGCATTTGAATCACCAACTAACTTGTAGTTGGCTTCCCCCTGCGAATGAGGAACCGACTTGTGGTTATCCATTACGCCTTTGTAAGCCGTATTTAGACGGTCAACGACAATTCTATAGTATATAATCACATTTAACGATCAAAAAAAAAAAAATGTTGGAACTTTGGGACTAAAATTGTTATGCTGTTAAACCAAAGAGAAAATCAAATTTTTTAAATGGTTTGTGCTTCATGATGAGGCACACAAACATTACTGTGAGGTGGCCTAACAATTGCACGAGTTGACTTTTCATAATTTTTGAAAGAAAATAGATGTACTTTTTTATGTTGAAATACCTTGTATTTTGTACATTTCATAATAATAACAAATTATAGAAGTGCATTAATTTTTTCATTTTTTAGGACTTTTATGTCAAGATTTTAATACTTTCTGTTTCCTATTGTTCTGTAGGTGCTTTAATTTTTTGTAGAGCTGGTTTTATTTTTTATATTTTTAACTTTTTTTAACTGTTCATGTTTTAATTTATTTTGAATCTTTTCTTTTGGTGAGTTTGATAATTTTTTAAATTATCTTAATTTTATGCTTTAGCTTGAAGTGTCTTATGTCTTATGAGTGTGCCTCCTTTTCTGGTCTGTATAAGGTCACTTGNGCTCAATCACTCCTTATAAAGAAAGCTTTTTTCAGTCAAGTTTCATACTTAGTATGGATCACAAGATCTGTGACTTCTCTTCATCAGAAATAAAAAACTGTGAAAGCCCATCGAGGCCATTGCCAAAAAGAGGGAAGATAAAGCTAAAAATAGCATCAGCAGCTATACACACAATCTCCTCCATCACGAGTCGAGCTCCAAGAACTGATACCCTTAAGGCGAAAACACAATAAACGGAAGAATGACAAGTATTATGTATATATATATACATATATAGTACGCCGTAAATTAATAGTTGTGTAGATATAGTTTCTTGTGTTTGGCTTATGTTCGTTATAGATATTAGAAAATTCTGCATGTTTTAGCTAAGGAGGAAGGTGATAGTTACTATGATTAATAGCTCGAATCTTCTTTTGTATATTAACTTTTGTTATAAAGATGCGGTTTTCTTGAGTTCTTGAATGAACGAACATGACGGTTTTTGCATTGTCTCATGAGGTGTAAGTACTATTTGATGGTAAGCTCAATTAGTACTTTAAATCCTGCTCATGTTGCTCAATTAGTGTCTTTTTTTTTTTTTTTTTTTTTTTTTTTGGTTAAATATNCCTTCAGGTTCTTTTCTATACATACCCAAAAACCAGTGTTTTTTCCTCTAAAACTATTCAAATCATCTTTAGTGTATGATTTGCTCCAATACTTGTGAAGAACATTTGACCTGTCTACTAGTGATAAAAATATATTAAGCAATTCTTTATGATAGTAAGCAATTCTTGAAAGTTTATACTACAAAGCACAAAGCCTCTTGTTCCTTGTGAGTGATGACTCACAACGAGCAAATTGCTCCTCGAGCATCTTCACACGTTGCTCAGATGTGATCACTTGACTAGTTAACTTAAGCACATTGGAATCAAGATCGGCCTTCTCGGTTTTCAAAGCCTCGATTTAACCTTGAGCGATCAAAAGCTGCTGATCTTGTTCGGCAATCTTTGCCTTCAAAGCTGCTTCTTTGTTGGCTGCTTCCTCCCTCAGAGATGCAAGAGCTCCATCTCTGAGTTCCAAAGTGTGTTTCTTCTCATCTACTTGCGCCGCATTAAGTCGGAAATCGTCCTTGGCCATCGTTAAGCTAACCAGAGCCCGGCCGAGACAAGTTTTCGCGTATTTGAATTTGTAAGCGCTCGGCAAAGAAGACACACCAATCTCGGACCTCGGATCCCACACCATCATAGGGACCCGAGCAGCATCAATAACATGACTCGACAGCTCAACTGAACTTGAAATCTCGGGAATCTCCACCGATTCAAACGTCGAGAACCATTTCTCGACCGACTCTCGAGGCTACCTAAAATTCAACGCCCTTTCCTTGTCTATGAGAAAGAAGGACCGACCAACCAAAGGTTCCTTCTTCTTCTTTTCCCGCTGACCGACGTCGTGCTTTTTCTTAGACTACCCCTCAACGATTGGGACACTTTCTGCGCGCCTCTTTCTTTGTCGGGTCAACGGAACCTCCTGCTCCTCAACCACTTCTCGGTCACCTTCAGGCTCGTCGGAAACAACCTTTATAACTGGCGGGGCCTCCGGTAAAGTAACCTCAGTAATTGGTTCAACTCCAGACGAACTGATGACAGCAGCAGTAATAGCGGCAATCGGACCAGTTGCTGCTATCGCTAATGGATTCGGCTGCAACTTCAATAGCAGCCATCGACGTTGCACCATCGCCGACGTCGGCGTCTTTCGGGTTCATAATCGGATTCGCCAAGTAGGCCTTCACCAATTTTTTGCGACCCATCTCAGACAAGCGTTGTTCTTTACTTTTTTCGACTTTAGTTCGAAGGTCTAAATTCGGACTCTTTTAACGAAAAGCTTTGGCGTCGCGGATGGTTTTGAACCCGAGTACCCCGAGGAGCGGATAATAAACTGCAAACAAAAAAATTCGAGTTATGGTTATCTTCGAGAACGACCAACTTCAAATAAGATTGAAAATTTATAACTCGAAATTACCTGGTTGAAAACAAGGGTCCAAGATTGCAGGGCAAAGACCAGCCGCTTTCAACCTCGTGTCTTTCAAAATCAATTTAGAGCTGCGTTATTCCTTCTTCAGCTTGAACAACTTGGTAATTCTCTCTTTTAATTCCGCACCGAGTTTCGATTCCTTTCTTCGGGCTGCAAATAGTAAAAGCGTTGACCTGGTAGTACAAAAATAAGCAAGTCAAGATAACTCGGTACAAGAGATGTTAAAAGACTTACAATATGCGGAAGTAATTTCAATGGGTATTGACATCCCATCGATTAAAGGTTTAGAAAAATTTAGGGTCTGCCAGTCACCACCAACCCAAAGCCACTCTTCTTGAAACCCGTGAAGAGAATCTGGGATCTCGGTAATTAAATCACCGACTTTTAATCCACCTTGTGGCCTCCCCGCGCAAGCGAAACAAATTAACGGGTCGGCCACTTGCCTATCGGCACATCTCCTAAACGTGAAGAGACTCCTTATCTCTTCAACTGTTGGCATGTCCCAATCTTTCTCCTTTAATAACACCATGAGGTCGATTATTTTTTTCCACGTGTTTGGTGCTATTTGACATAAACCGAGTCCCCAATCTCTTAAATAATCGGTAATCAAAGCAGAGAGTGGAAATCTTAATCCCGACCTCAGTGAATCGGCAAAAACGCCCACGCAACCTGGTGGAGGGCAAGTAATCCTTTCACCCGGGTAAGGAGCAAATAATCTTACCGAGGAAGGAACATAAACTTCCCCTCGAAGCATGACGATATCTGCGTCAGTTAAAATACTTGGCTTGCCCCTATACTCGTCAATCGGTTCGGGCCACCGACGTGCGGGACGCCTCCAATATTCGGCAAGAGACATAGCATTATCTTCTACCACCTTATCCTCCTCGATTATGTCCTTATTCAAGTTAAGCCTCTGAACAAGAATAGGATCCCACCGATAATACTCGAGAGGCAATTCCAAATCCTCATCGGTAAAAATCCTAATCTCAGAAACTATACGGCTACTACTATACTCAGCATGAGAAGTCATCTTTTCGAAATTGATGGAAAAATAAAAACAAATTCAAAATCGACGAGCACGAAAATATAAAAATTAGGACAAAGTCTTACCAAGAATCTCAAAGCCCTAAATCGAAGAAGACGCAAAGAAATCACGCGAACCGCACAAAGTGAAAATTGAAAAGGAAATTCGAAGAAATCTGAGCACGAAGATGAAAACAAAGAGTTCGAAAATCAAAGGTAAAGAAACCCTTCACAGTCAAAACCGAATGCAATTTATAGGTTTTGATTTATAACCGTTGGCTAAACCCGGGATCAGCGCGTGTAACAGACGTGTCCCTAAATGGTGCAACATTACAGTAATGATTAATACACGTGGGCTAGCCTCAAAACGCCATGTCGCTTAATAATTCTATCTGTTGGACTCATTAAATACAGACGCGTCTTTTAAGAATTGCAACGTTAGTTCAAACGTTACACAACCGTCGAAAACAGAATTGATGACAAAACCAAGTGTTCTCATGTCGGTCTCGAAATAAAGAGAAGTCGGCAAACAACCAAGTCGGAATTACAAAAGACAATGACGACATCAGCAGCCATTTTAAGAAAAGCTCAAAATACCCACTAATGTCGGGGGCCTCTCTGTTGATGACCGACTTGGTTTCGTGAGATTAAGCTAAAGATTAACTGCCCCGTTCGATCAGTGGTCCTCCAGAATAGCTGAACTTAGCTTAAGTCGGTATCAGATGAATAAATTAATTACCGACTTCCAGATGGTAGAAAGTAGAACCGACTGTTTATCAGAAACCGATGACCGACTTCACCGACATCGTGATTCGTGTATCAAAAATTATCCATTTAACCGACATCCGAGGGGATCAAATATCCAAGCAGATGGTGTTGTCAACATTTGATTGGACCATCTAAACAAGAAGCAATCATTGATGTTCCATTGTTCCATTACACACCGCTTTATTGAAGCTGCTCAACATTAAATGCGATCTTATCTACCTCGGACAAAAAGACAAAAACAACCGTACTATAAATAGCAGAATTTATGATTGTACGAGGATCTTTTCTCACAGATTGTACACGGACTTAAAATGATCTCGGTCAAGAACAGAAAACCGACTTCCTGTACTCTTGTGAACTTATCAATAAAACACAATTTTATATTTGGTTTTGTTTAAATACACCTTACTGTTTGTGATTTTGAGTTGTTAATTCCATACAACAACATATGTATAAAAAAAATAAATTATATTTATTTTTATAACAATAATAAAATTATTTTTTAATATTAATTAGAACAACAAAATTATTTATCAATTAATATATTTATATTTCAAGTAGTTATATGATATAAGTTTAAAAATCTCTATAATAATACACATGTAAGTCGCACAAGTAACAAGTGTCATTCTAAAATATATAATAATATATATTTTTTTGTAAAAAATTAAATGCAATTTAAAATAATTTTTCTCATTAATTTTAAAATTTAAGAATAATTTTTTAACAAGCACCGGTGTAATACAGAATATTTTATTAAAAAGCACCGGTGTGATACACAAGTGCTGTACTAGTAGGTTATTCATCAGTAAAATCTCTCTCAAGGTAAATAGTGTAGTATGTCCATGAAAGCTACACAAATGAAGAATAAAAATGTATAATTATGCAGTAATATTCACAATTATGTTGTTTTTTAAAAAGCATAACATTTCAATATTTTTTATAAAAATATGCATTTTTTCCCATTTTCTCACTATATATTAATTCAGAACGTCTTGAGCCTAAGTGG